CCAATCATTAGCGAAGCTTATTTCTTATCTTGCCCACCTATTCTATAGAACATCTATATTTTTTTGACATGTTAATTAGACTATATTTAATAAATTAGCTTTTAAGTATATTTACTATCTGAATAAGTTTTTCTAAAATATTTATAAAAATTTTTATATGTTTTATATATAAGAATATTGCTATTTATTGCCAGTGATGATATTGCTGTGGATATTATATTTCATAAATCTACTAACTAACACATGTCAAAGGTACTAACTAAAAATGTTTAGGACCCCAAAAACCTAACTCTAACAAATATTTGGACCCTTATACCTAACCCTAACCTTGGTCTAAAATTGCTCCTTATCTCTAAATTTAATAAAAGAAATAAAAGGTGGTGTTATTGGCACTAGCGATAAATGCTAAAATTCTATATATAAAATTTTAAAATAAAATTAAAAATTTTATGTTATAAGCCTAGTATTTATGAAATCTAGACAGGTTATGCATGTTGCTGAACATTATATTAAATTTTTTAAAGTTTATAATATTAGGGTTAGCATTTTATATAAAGTTAAAAGCTTGATAATTGTATAGTAAAATCATATAAAGAAAACTTTTTGTTAGTCTACTAAAGGTGGTTTACTATGCAGATTTTTTAAAAAAAGTAATTTTTAATAAAATGAACATTTGTTTACATTACATCTGATTCTCAAATCTGATTGGCGGATCATATATAATCATGTATAACTAAGCACAGATTTCACAAATGCATAAGCCCATGATATATATAGTACAATTTCTTTCCTAATTAGATATTACCTTTCTAGAAAATTACATATTTTTTTTATATTTTCATATATAGGTATCCACATAATAAACTGATTTTGATTAGACAATATAATAACACTAATATTAGTTTTAGAAAATTTAATATTAAAAAATAATTATTATTCTGATATGGATTAACAGTTAAGTTGTGAGACTTAGAAGTAAGAAGTTCTAAGTTCGAGCAATACTGGATGTAAGTGCCACCCCTTAGAGATAGTTGCCTTTTAAAGCATCAGAAGGAGGTGAGTGCTGCCTGTAGGATAGTTATCCTCTATAGTATTTTGCTATTTTTACCTTGGTAGATCACATGCTAATAAATTATTACTGAATATTATCGGATTTAGATTTATTTTCAATACTATTAATTTTTGTTCTTCACATTAGGTGATCTTTTTGGAGTAGTCTTTCATCATTTGTTGCTTCTAATAATTTTTATCATTTGTTCTTTTTTTAATACTACTGTTTTATTATTCTCTTTTAGATTTAATTTTCTTGTATTATTAAGTATTCAAATAAATACATTCAGTGTTTTTTAAATTTTTTTTCTGCTAACATTTCTTTTATAGTTATCTTTTATATCCAATATCCTTTGTCATTTTCTTTAAGTATTTATTCAATGTTTTTGAAGCAGTTTCTAGTAAGTCATTTTAGTATTCTTAGAAATTTCTATTTTTTCTCTACTAATGATTCCTTTGAAGTTTAATGCTTTTGAAGCATTTCAGATTTCTTCTTAAAGTAGTTTCTGGTAAGTCTTTTTGGTGTTTGTTAGAAGATTCTTTCCACTTCTAACATTTCTTTGATGATTTCAGTTTCACTTTGCTATAACATTAGTAATGGAGATTAGAGCTGAATATTGTGAGTTAATTTACAGTAATTTTTTTCTTTGTTTGCTTCTTTTTTCTTCTCTTTTTTAGCTTGATCAATTCTTTTTTTATAAGTTGAATGCCAGATTTGTCACTTCAGGGTTGTTATTTTCAAAGCTTTCACTGGTGTAATTTAGTTGCTTAGTTGTCAAGCTTTCATTAGTAAGATCTTGTTGCATCAATGTAGTTATTGATAAAATCTTTATTAATAAAAGGCTTGCTAGAAATGTTAGTGAAAATAGAATTGATAATGATGATACAAGGCTGAACTGTATGAAAAAGGAGTTAAGCAAATTGAAAAAAATAAATTAAAAATGATGAAAGTAGCTACGCAATAGTAATAATAAGGTGAATGATAAGAGGATGGAGAATGTTGAAAGTAAAAAAAGTAATGTAAAGGTTGGTTTGATGAAAGGTGATAAGATATTCAAAACTAATGATAAAAAATATGAAGATTTATCTAATCCAGATGAGAAAGTGATCTTAAAAATCCAATCTACTGATAAAACATCCAATTATAAAAATGGAATAATGATTATGTTTAATAATTCAAGAAGGGATCAAAAGAAAAGTACTGATATTAATGAAAGAGTCAAAAGTGCAATATCTAAAATTGAAAATAATAAAATAATAGTGAATTATGTAATGTTGATTGGGTACAACTGAGGCAGCAAACAAGAATAGAATCAGATTACAATATCTAAGTAAAAAAGTTCTGTAATAACATAAATCTAGTGCAAATATCAAATTAGAAAAAGTAGATTTACAAGAGTTTGCATTTCATAGGAGGAATATTCATCTGATTGGCTAATATAATTAATTACCTGAGTAACTAATTTATAAGTACTTTTTCCAGTTACAACATACACAATTTTATTTATGAATATTTTTTTTTATAATTAGGTTTAGAAGAGTGTTATACTTTGTTATACAAATAATTACTAAATAATTATAACAACAAAGGACTTTACTTAGAAGTGAAGTTACTGTGTACATTATTATATTTCGCAATTAGTAAACTTAAGTAAAATGGGTATAAGTACTAATTGCAAGAAAATAGTCAAATAAAATGAATGATCAAGGTGTTTAAGATAAAATTAGATTTTAAAATTAACTCTTACAAGCTATTAATTTTTGTATTTAATACTTATATTACTTTATTTTTGTGTAGAAATATAATATGGTTTTAGAATAGATAGTATAGATAGTATTAATTACAAGGAAACAGTTGTAATAACTGAAAAATAGAATAATTATTTAAGAATTTAGAATGAAATTTCTTAAGTTTTCTTCTTTTGATAGATACAAATTGAATATAGTAATAATTAGAGAAAAATATAGTATAAGTGATATTGCTAATTAATAATATATTCTAAGGATAGTAACGTCTCTAGTGAAGGTAGTAATAATTAAAGATAAGATTGTCTTCGAATATATAATACAAAAAATAATAAAAAATTTTAATAGTATATAAGCTTCGATGGTATAAAGCTTCATCTATATTATCATTATTTGATGCCAAATTATCACAATTTGATTGGTTAATTAACACAAATATCTTTCTATGAGTTTGCATTTGGATTATGAAATTGGTTGTGATGAATTAAAACATATTGTAACTATTCGTCACTTCAAGTTGTGCCAAGACCTCCTTTTTGTTATAGGCAAAAGGTTATCTTTTATTTACTTTTTTTTCTTTTCTTTTTATATTTGCATAGACTGTCACCAACATTACTTTTTTATTACATCATTTATTATGCGCTTACTAATTAATATATTAAACTATTAACCCCACCTTGTTAATTAATTAATTACTTCCCAAGGCACGATTACGATTGATGATCATAATTGTATCACATAAGCACAATAAGTATTATTAACTTTCTTCTAGTTCCAAACCCGAATGCATTACTAAACATTTCCTTATTTATCCAAGTTATGATTGATTACTATTTCTTGCATTTCGTAAACAGAGCCGTTACTTCCTAATTAATCGTCACTGTGTAAACTAACCTTATTACACATGTGATGTTTTGAAATAAATTTGAAATGTGAAGGCTTAAGCAATTAGACTTGAAATGTTGTGACTAGATATGAGCCACTATGCAGTATAATTTTTATAATTTAGGCAGCTGCATAATTTAGGTCAGCTTTATAATAAAGCTTGAATTAACCAATATGAAAATTATTTTGGATCAGCCTGAAAGAAAAACAAAACACAAAGAATTTGTATCACCTAACTTGCAGATTATTTGACTATATTTAAAATTAATGTTTTAAGTGATGCTGCAAATTTAATCAGAATTATACTAAAATTTTGCAAGGAATTTTTTGCTAAAAAGGAGATGTTAATTAATAAGTGAAATTACAAGATAAAGGCATTTTTTTAAAAAATGTTAATTTTTTAATTTTTACATTACACACTGATTGTTCATATAAATTTTAATCCAATTAGACACTTATTAGATGGAAAGCATAATTTATATCTATATGATATTGCCATTTTAATTAGTTTAATTAAAATTAAGATTAGGATCAAGTTAGTATTAGTGTTAGTTTGATGTCAATATAAGAAGAGAGAGATAGATAAAATGCTTTTCTGATATTTTAGATTAGTGCCTCAAGATTGGTTTAGATTTTTTTGTGTATAAACAAAATTTCACAATTTCATTTGGTTGATTTACACAAAAAGTCACATGGGTGCATGATTTACGCAGAAGCATGCTACAGATAGAAAATACTTATTCATAAAAATTAAACAAATAAAATTTAGTGTTAGAATACTGAAGTTAGATGTTATAGAAATATAGAATACTTTCTAAATACAAAATTTCATTTTCATTACTTTTAATTAGTAACTAAAATAGGTTTAAACACTTAATTTCTTGTATTTTCACTTTTTTCAGTGGTATTTTTTCATGTATTTATTTATTTTGCTTACATGTCAGGATGATCTAAGATAATCAAATTTTATGTTCTCTAATTGGTCAATTTCTCTTTTTGGATTTGCATCACTTGTACATATATTGTAAAAGAAAAAAAGATCTGGTTCTGAATAATACAACTATTTATCACTAAAACACACTAAACTAAAACTAACTGAAACTACTCTAACTAGAACACTACAACTAATACAACCAAAACTTAGTAGTGGTAAGGCAATGATCAAGGCATGAAAAGACATGAACCAAGTAATCAGAGTGAATTGGGTTCTTATTGATAGTATCAGATTAAAGCTCTTAATTACATCACGGATCTTCTTATCAGAATCATAGAATTTGGTCATGGGTTTCTTTCATAACTTATGAATTTACTTATGAGAATTAGTAAAACAAACACTTCTACTTCAGGAATTTAGAAAGTTTCAAACTTTAAGAGTTATCCACAAGTTAAGTACTCTGATTTCTTTAACTTGGAACTTCAAACCCCAGAGTTTTATACTATTAGGGTAAATCACAAGTCAAATACTCTAATTTCTTTGACTTAGTGCTTTAAACTCAACCTAGTTATGTTTTATTTTAGAGAAAACCTCCACTTATATAATAAATTTTATATATACAAGAATAACACGAATTCTGATTTTTCTAGCTTTTTTAATTTTTCTCATTATTTTGATTTTTCCTGCTATTCTAATTTTTCTAGCTTTTCCTTGAATTCTTCGAATTCTAGGAATTCCAAAAATTTCAGGAATTCGTGCAATTGATTACTGCAGTACTAACTTGTTTTGGGAAGGATGATCTTGCTGCTTACAGTTCTTTCAATCTTAAGTTCGAGTTCTACAAGAACAACAATACAAAATGAAAAATAAAACTAAAGAGAAAAGGAAAGAAAGAAAAAAAAACTAATAATATAGAAAGAAAAATAAAAAAA